CCTTGGGTCTTGAACACACTGGCCACCACCACTGAGCTTCTCTCCCAGGCAGCTCCTCTCCTCCTGCAGAACCCCGCTGGCCCATCTGTGCCTCCAGGGAGCCTCCCATCTTCCTATGGGCTCGAGGTGCCCTTGGCACCCAGTACAGTTGAGTAAATGCTTGATGGATGGATGGATGGGTGAGTGAATGAATGAATGAATGAATGAATGAATGAATGAGAAGTCTTGGCTGCTTAACAATGAGCCAGTCCAAGGGTAGTGGGAGTTTACAACACATCATCAGAGAAGGCTTCTTGGCTCTTGGCCTCAAAAACCAGTCCCCACCACCCTGCAGGGCATCGTTCTGGATAAATGGCTGCCACCTTGTCATGTGATCTGGTGGGTCTGGAAAAGGGCTACAGGCCATGGTGACAGAAGAGACAGAGTTCCCACCTGGGCTGCCACCCACTCTGTCCCTTGATGTAAATTACTGCTCAGAGGTTCTCCCTAGCCTCCTGTTTGCTGGCAATCCCCAAAGGATAAAGGGCCTTTCAGGAAATGGGTCAAGCTCTTCTCTGTTCAAACATATCTTTACGTGCACAGAGAAGGAAACCATCAACAAAACAAAAAGGCAACCTGCTGAATGGGAGAAGATATTTGCAAATGACATATTTGATAAGGGGTTAATATCAGAATATATAAAGAATGCATACAACTCAACACCACCAAAAAACAAATAAACCAGTTTAAAAATGGCAGAGGACCAGAGTAGACATTTTTCCAAAGAAGACGTACAGATGCCCAGCAGACACATGAAAAGATGCTCAACATCACTCATCGTCAGGGAAATGCAAATTAAAGCCACGATGACATATCACTTTACACCTGTCAGGATGGCTAGAATAAAAAACACAAGAAACAAGTGTTGGCGAGGATGCAGAGAAACGAGCCCTCGTGCACTGTTGGTGGGAATGCAGACGGGCACAGCCACTGTAGAAAGCAGTATGGAGGTTCCTCAAAAAATTAAAACAGAAATCTGTATGATCTAGTAATTCCACTACTGGGTATTTACTCAAAGAAAACAAAAATACTAATTTGAAAAGATAGGCTCACCCCTGCGTTTAGTGCAGTATTATCTACAATAGCCAAGATATGGAAGCAGCTCAAGTGTCCATCAACTGGTGAATGGATAAAGAAGATGTGGTGTATAGATACACCATGGAATATGATTCAGCCATAAAAAAGGAAATCTTGCCATTTGCAACAACATGAGTGGACCTAAAGGGTATAATGTTAAGTGAAATAAGTCAGGCAGGGAAAGACAAACACCATATTATTTCACTTTTATGTGGAACTTAAAAAAAATGAACATAGGAAAAGAGAGATAAACCAAAAAACAGACTCCTAACTACAGAGCACAAACTGGCGGTTGCCAGAGGGGAGGTGGGAGGTGATGGGGGGCTGGGGGAAATAGACTAAGTGGGGAAAAACATATCTTTAAGTGATTAGTGGGAGGGGAAATGTCACAGACACTTTAAGAAGCAATTTAGGGCAGATTTTTTGAGGCAACCAGAATGCAAGCTGCTCTCACAAGCCATTGCTGAGCCACCGCCGCCCGGTGCCGGATGACAGGGGCAGCAGCGACTGGGGCAGGCTGGGGCCAGCTGGGCAAGGGACAGCACCAGGGCCAGAGGACTGAGGCCCTCATCTCTTCCCCAGCACAGGGGCTGAGACCTAAGAGGGCAGAGGCAAAGTCTGGGCCGCCAATCTGATCACCAGGAATTAAAAGAAACATCACCTCCAGATCCAGCGGCAGACGTTCCGTGCCCAGCCTACAAATCCAAGGTGGGCAGAACAGGTCAACAAACGCTGCAGAGGGTCAGGAGCATCACCCAGGCCCACCGCACCCCCCAGGCGGGTCAGAGCCCCCCAACACATAGGCTCCTGTACTTCCTTGCCCTTCCCGGACTTGCCACACTGTTCTCCTGCCCCTGCAGAGCATGAACTCCTGAAGGCAGGAGTACATGTCCCTTGCTCGCCACCTTGTCCCTCACGCTCAGCTGGGTGCCAGGCAGCTGGTGGGCACTGGTACATGCTTGTGGAATAAATGAATGAATGGCTTATTGACATTGAGAAGAAGCATGGGGAAAACAAAGCCCGGTAGCATATCATGAGCCTGCGGCCACCATGAGATACAGAATAAACACCGCTGAGAGCCAGACTCACCCCCCATCGCCATCTGCCTGCACACCTGACTCCCTCTGCAACTCAGGATCAGATCTGGTTGGCCCCGCCAGGGCAAGGCGGAGGCAGGCGCCCGAGGTCAAGGGCTCAGGAAGGATTTTATTTATTTATCTGATAGAGAGAGACAGCGAGAGAGGGAACACAAGCAGGGGGACTGGGAGAGGGAGAAGCAGGTTCCCACCGAGCAGGGAGCCCGATGTGGGGCTCGACCCCAGGACCCTGGGACCATGACCCGAGATGAAGGCAGACGCTTAACGCCTGAGCCACCCAGGCGCCCCTGCTTCTTAGATTCTTGCCTAAGGAGTGGGCAAGCTGCTGAGCTTGGTCTCCCGACTTGGAAAGGGAGGATCCAGGATTTATGGAGCTTGACGCATATGCATATGTGGGGACTCTTTCAAGAAAGAACATAAAAATATCTTCCTCATACACATTTTATAAAACCCTAGGACCGGGGAACTCCTTGCTGGACACTTCCCAGAGCTCCGTGATGGCCCGGGAAATCCAACCTGGACCATGCTCTCTGGGTGCCTCGAGCCTCCCTCACCTCACACTCTGCTAGGAATCCCACACAGTGCCACCATGGGTAAGTCACTTCTCCATGCCTCAGTTTCTGCACCTATGAAATGGGTACAACCTTGGTGCCTGTGTCATGGGTTTGTGGGGACATGTAAAGGAGTTAACACAAGGAAAGGGTTTAGTCCAGGTCGGGGCACTTGGTGAGGATACTAGAAGGTGTTGCTGGAAGCTGCCTTTCAAGGCTCTGCATCCCTCCTGGATCAAACGGAAGGTCACGGCTCTCTGTAACTTAACAGTGGGATGGCAGCACAGAAGCTCTGTCTGCTGTGATCATGGATTGTGGTTATGAATTTTATGTTTTTTTATTATTTTTAAAGATATATTTATTTATTTGAGAGAGAGAGAAAGTGCACAAGCCGGGGGAGGGGCAGAGAGAGAGGAAGGAAGCGGACTCCCCATCAGATGCTTAACCAACGGAGCCACTCAGATGCCCCAGGTAAAGACCCCTTCAAAAATCCTAACCACAGGGGCACCGGGGTGGCTCGGCCGGTTAAGTGTCCGACTCTTGGTTTTGGCTCAGTTCGTGATCTCAGGGTCATGAGATGGAGTTTGGAGTGGCACTCCATGCTGGGCGTGGAGCCGGCTTAAGAGTCTCTCTCACGGGGTGCCTGGGTGGCTCAGTCGTTAAGCGTCTGCCTTCGGCTCAGGTCATGGTCCCAGGGTCCTGGGATCGAGCCCCGCATCGGGCTCCCTGCTCCGCGGGAAGCCTGCTTCTCCCTCTCCTGCTCCCCCTGCTTGTGTTCCCTCTCTCTCTGTGTCTCTCTGTCAAATAAATACATACTTTAAAAAAAAAAACAGTCTCTCTCCCTCTGCCCCTCACCCCCATCTTCCTCCCAAATAAATAAATAAATGGTCTTTATCTTATAGAGACACACAAAAAAGGGTTTTTTTTAATTACCCAGCTCATATTTCTTGCAAACCTTGCTCTTGCTTGTACATGATTTTTGCACCTTGTAAGTAAGTAGTCATTGCTTAAGTAAAACTATTACACAAATAAGTAAAAAATGTAAGTGCCTCGGGTACACCCAATATCTCTGATATTTCAATAAGCACCTGACTGCTGGTTCACAAAGCCGCACCCTCCCTCCCACGGCTGCATCTCTATGATATATCCAGAAGGGGTGACTCCCCCCCGCCAGGCACCCGCAGAGCGCTGTTGGAGCTCCCAGAAAGACCCAGTCAGACTCAAACCTCCCAGGCCCCCGCCAGGCACCCGCCTCCCACCAGTGTCATCACCCTCATGGAGGATGGGTCCACACCCTCCTTTCCTGCCCCACTCCTGGCCTCAGCAGCCAAGCCCTGATCTGGACCAGCCCACTACCTGAGAGCAGGTAGGAAAGAGGGGCCGCACCACGCTGGGGGGAGACCCATTGCAGCCACGCCGGCAGAGGACATCCCCATCCCCCCGGCGTCCAGCCCCATCCTGGACCCCAGGGCGTCGGCCCGCCCTCTGAGGCCCGGCTTCGGGCCCTGCCTCCCCCATCACAGGGCTGTGGCCAGCCAGGCAGCGCCCAGGGCTGGGTGTGGAATCAGACCTGGCTGGACCCAGCACTTCCTCTGTGACATCTTGGGCACATTCCTCACCACCCTGGCCTGTTTCCCCTTATGACAAATGGAAAACATAACCGAATGTCCCTTAGGACTAACTGGGACAGACTGCAAAGCGCCCACCCCGGGACAGTACTCAGCAGTCACCGGCCCCTTTCATCAGCCTGGGCTCCTGGGGCAGCGGGGAGCTGCTGAGAGGCCCGGCCAAGCTGCAGCCCACGGGGCTCCCCGCCGTGGGGCAATTTCCGTGACCCTCAGCTCCTGGGCACCACACACACACCCCCGAACCCCAGCTTCCATTCATCAGTGCTGGAGAAGCCCAGACTGTGGAAGCATCCAGGCTGACTCCAGCCTGGCCACCCAGACCACATACTCACGCTAATTCTGCCAGAAAGACCAGCCTGTGGTTGGGAAGAACGGCCATTATGGTTTCCAGAAAATTCCTCCGAGCAGGGAGGAGCTGTTTGCCATTCCTGAGGCTTCTCCAGTCAGTCTGAATGCGGTTTTCCAATTAAGCTGGGACTGCTCCCAGATCTCTGCTTTAAACAACCACCTCTCCGCTTTCCCTCTAAAGAAACAAAACCCTTGAGACGTGCACAACCCCTCCCTTTTATTTTGTTTTAAACGACCTCTGGGTGTTTTTTCCTGCTTACCCAGGTGGTGTGTGTTGTATAATCCAGGAGCACTGGTGGGAGGGCACCTGGGGGGTCGGAAGTCCAGGCCATGGATGGGGTGGATCTGCTCACCAAGTTGGGGACTGCACAAGGAGAACCGAGCCTGGGGAAGGAAGACAAGTCCTCCTCTGGGCGGGACAAGCAAGATTGCACTTGGGAATTCTTAATTCTGCCTCCGGTCAGGAATGTGGGGAGAAGGTTAAAGACCCTGGGCTAGCTCTCAGGTCCTCAGCCCAAATGAGGTATCGGCATCAGGGGATGGACGTGACCTCTAGGTCACGTGGAGGGCTGAGAGAAGAAAGAGCCAAGGACAAAGCAAGGAAGAGGGGGCCGATGAAGAGAAATGGTCAGAGGCCTGGAAGGGAATGGACAGGAGGAGGAGAAGGAGGAGAGAGGCACGCCATGGGCCAGCCACGTCCCATGGCCAGAGAGGGCCATTTAGATGAGGTCTACCAAGGTCTACCGGACCTGCTACCCATGATGTCACTGACCACCAGGATGCACTGAGCCGGTTCTGAGTCTAGTCTTTAAGAAGACGGGCGTCTGCTACTTCCTCCTTCTTGAAATGACCTCTCTGAGGACACTCCCTGGCAGAACCAAGCCCCCATGCCAAGAGGAGCCCAGCCTGGGACACATGCAGCCTCCCCGGTCAGCATCGAATGCCGGCTCCGTGAGCACGTGTCCTGTGGGCTCTGGTGTGCCCCGGCTTACCGGGGACGGCAGCCTGGCCAGAGGACCTCCCCAGAGCCCAGTCAACTCACAGGATCAGCAGATAAACGAATGTCCTCAGAGCCTTCACGAGAACAAAGTTAATGATTTGGCGGGGATAGACCCCTCCCCAAAAGGAGTAAAGCATGAACAGGTGTGTGTGTGTGTGTGAGCACCTGCGTGTGCAGGGAACAGAGACAGTGTTTAGAAGCTCCTCCTCGAGGAAGCTGACCGACCATGAAAGGAGGAGGGGGAGGGGACCTGTTCGTTGCCCCTCACTACTTAACAGTTTCCTTCCTCCTGGTCCCGGGCCATGAGCCCACCCCCGAAAGCTGGTTCACAGCCTCCGCGGGGATCTACCAGAGACGCCGAGGGTGACGGAAGCAGCCCTTGCAGCCGGAGCCTTGGCCGGGGTCCCAGCCCCAGCCCTGCCACTTAAACTCCTGGGCCTCAGTCTTCACCTCTCTCAAGTGGGGCTAATGATACTTGACCTGCCAGTGTTTCAGGGCTATGGCTGGAAATAAACAAAATGAAGGATCTGGAAACTGTCAGCGGAAAGGCCAGTGCAAGGGACTATTATTATGACGATCCAAAGGGAGGAGGAGGTGGGGAGCCAGGAGCTCACAGCCTCCCTCAGTGGACACAACACAGTTACATGAAAGCAGCTCAGGAAGATCAAGTTTGCCTGCAGGGCTCTGGATCTCAGCACCAACTTGAAGAGACCCCCCAGTGTGGTGCAGACAGTCTCCTGAGAGCCTGCCCGGCCTTCGGCCCCCGTGAGGGCTCCTCAGATTTGCAGGTACATTGAGGGCTGCTTCTGTGACCAAAGATGACGGCCATTTCCAGAGCATCTGCCAGAGGACCTGGCACCCTCCCTATTTATCACAATCTCATTTTCCGCCTCCAACATCTGTAGCTGAAAATCAGTGCTGCCTCCTGGGGTGGGGGGAGCGAGCACCAGAAAATGAGGCTGAAAACATCATAAAGTGTAAAAAAAAAAAATCATGAGCACCTTTATCCCACTGACCTACAGGCAGGGTCCTGAGCTGAGGTGTGTACAACCTGGGAGAGCAGGGGAAAGGGGGCGTGAGACCCATAAAGGGGGAACCTAAATAAAATCGCACATGGTGCTAGGAGAGGGTCCACACGGCCGACCAACAGCGGCAGAGCAGGTTCTCCGGATGGAGGCAGCTTTCGGGCTTTCCAGTGGTTTCCATGGCACCGTGCCTTCATAATCCTTACCCAAACAGCTCTCCTTCAGCTCACCTTGTGTCACCGAGCCAGAGGAGAAATGGAGTAAGTGTGACAAATATGCTGAGAGCGAGAAAGTTGAGCATGCGTGTGCGTGTGCGTGTGCGTTCGTGTGTGTGTGCAAGGAGCTCGGGCAGAGCCAGGGTTTTCCTTCAGAATAGGTGACCTTGGTCATTGCCTGGGGGCTCCGAAGGCATTTCTGGGAGCCAGACCCACTAAACTCTGATTTGGAGAAATCCATGGACTCAGATCCCAGCCGGTTTGGCGGGGAAGATGCCGGGGCCCCCTTGCCGTGGGTGGTCAGGTCCCCCACAGCAGGTGCTCATGAGTGCGGAACCCAGAGCCTTTCTCAGGTTCAGAACCCCTAGGAGGAGGAGGTGTGCAAACTCTCCACCCCCCAAGAGTCTAACTACCCTCCATCTGGTGATGTTTTCTCTTTCATTCGTTCAACAACGACTGAGCGCCTTCGTGGGCCAGGCACAGACTGGGCTGCAGGCAGAGCGTCCGGCCAACCAGCCATGCACCACCTCTCCCTCGCTGCCCCAGGCTCAGCAGACAGGCAGGTTTGCCACAAATTCTCGCCCCCTGTGGCATCCTCCACTTGCCTGCCATTCAGATCAGACCCCCGGCAGCAGCAAGCTGCTGAAAAGGATTCCAGGTGCTCCATTCTCCCTTTCATCGGTTCTCTCTCCCTTTTTTGTCTTCTTTTTTTTTTTTTTAAGATTTTACTTATTTGAGACAGAGAGAATGAGAGAGAGAGAGCACACGAGAGGGGGGAGGGTCAGAGGGAGAAGCAGGCTCCTTGCTGAGCAGGGAGCCCGATGCGGGACTCGATCCCGGGACTCCAGGATCACGACCTGAGCCGAAGGCAGTCGCTTAACCAACTGAGACACCCAGGCGCCCTTTTTTGTCTTCTTTATAAAAATGCTCTTTACTGGTGGGAAAGTTAGCATGAAAAAGACAGAAAATGAGGCTCAGGAAGGATGCCTGATGTGCAGCGATGTATTAACCTGCCAGAGGCTCTTCCTCTCCAAGCCCAGCAGCTGGGAGATGGGCCTCCCCTCTCCCCTCCTGCCAGCAGAGGGGAGCGATGGGTCAGGGTGGGCATCTGGCCTCATGGCACCAGCTGAGCTCAGGACCATGGGAGACCAGCGTCTGCTGCTGGGTTCCTGTGGGCATCTGATGTATCACCTTAGGGCCCCGGAGAGTCAAAATCTCCATGAGGTGTGCTCCTTCTCTCCCCGGGGACTCAAGCCGCCACTGTCCCCTCCTTTCCGCCTGGCACCTGGTCACGTGCCCCACCGCCCTCTGGAAGAGCCAGCTGGGCACCTGCCATGGACTCCCCAGGGACCCCAACTGGGCTGCCCTCTGGACTGACCCTCCTGGCACTCTCACTTACCCACACGAAAACACCAGGACCCTGGTCTACAAAGGAGCCAGCTACAGAAGAGCCACCCCAGGTCCCGCCTTCCCAGAGAGGGGGCTGGCTGCCCACCATGCAAGGCAGAGGTCCGGGCCAGAGTGCCCACAAGGTGAGGGGGCTAATAGAGTTTGTTTCCCCGGAAACAATGGAGGGGGTGGTACAGGCAAGCCTTGAGGCGTGAGAGAGAGGCTGGATGGCCCCGTGCCTGGGCTCAAATCACATCGAGTCAGCTTCCCACTTATTAACCAAGGGAACTGGCCTGTCGCCATTTTCCTACACATCCACGGCGGGGGTGGGGGGGGCGGACAGCAGCACCGTCTCCCTGAATCATGCAGAGGTCCCATAGGTAAGGAGTTTAGAACAGTGCCTGGTGACGGGAGGTACAGAGCAGAGACCTGGGGACAGAGGCACAGAGCAGAGCTCTGTGTTCAGCCAGGCCCTGAATGAGCCTCCCCCCGACCCATGGCAGGCAGGGTAATCCCCACCCCCACTGGCAGAACATAAGGTTGGAAGATGGGTATTTTCTCCCACAGTCAGACCCAGGGATACAGAACCTCCCGGGGGGCCCCTGTCCCCAGAGCCCCGGGCCCCCCCGACTGGGACTGAAGAACCAGAGTGGGCTGTGGGAACGCTGAGCTGCTGCCTCAGGGTCACCCCACTCTGCACAATTCCGGGGGGTGCCATGTACATCCGTGGGACACAGTGGCCTCTTCCACACAGAGGGCAAGCCCTATAGGAGACAGGCTAAGGCCATTTGTCCACTGGAAGCCATGTAGAGGCCCGGAGGGGAGCCCAAGAAGGGAGAGAGGCAGACAGGGGAGCCCACTTCACCAGCAGGGCCCAGCCTCGGGGGACGTGGGTTTTCCCTCCTCCTGGAGCAGGGTGGCCTGGCTCTGTCCTTGAGACTGAAAAGGGACTGGGAGAAACAGCTTGCCATGCTCCCGGTCCACACCATCTCACACCCCGCCTCTAAGACTGGTGACTCTCAGGGCCACGGGCTCCCTGCGCCCCAAGCCCCCACGGCCAGGGCAGGAGCTGCGGGCACCCTGAGTGACGATGTGGTTTCCTCCCTGTCTCTGTCCCTTGGTGACTTCCGTTCAGCAGCAGCACTGGGGAGATGGCAGCCAGTCCTCACGAAGCCTCCCTGCACTGAGAGAAGACAGACAAGGGGACAGATGGGCGACAAGGCCATGCCCCTTCCCATGGCAGGGGGCAACAGGTGGGGAAATCACAGGGAGAGAACAGTGACTGGAGACACGGATATAGGGTGTGTGCGGGCGCACGTGCGTGCACGGGGATGTGTAAATGCAGGGTGCTCAAGTGAGTGGGAGTGCGGATGTGTGCAAATGAGCGTGCATTTGTGTCCGGGCACACGCGTGTGTGTGTGCGAGGGGGCAGAGGGAGGGCGGAGGAGAGCAGAGCGGAGCAGAAAGACAGCCACAGTGAGAAAGCCCTGTTGCCCTGCAGGGCAGCCGACGGGAAGCCCCAGGAAGTAGGAGCTGCGCGCTCGCTGCTGGCTCCTCGGAACCCAGCACGCGGCAGGTGCACGGCGACTTGCTGGTGCCCGCCCAACAGATCGTGCAGGTCATAGGTGCCTCCGGGTCCAGAATGTCCCCCACTTTCCCCTAAGTCCACTTCCCCCTCACCTTCAGCAGCCAGCCCCTCCAGGCCAGCACGCCCCACCCCCAGGCCCCCGAGGGAGCC